ATTTCACGATTCAACAGTTCCCACCTATGGGTCTATTGTTTTTCGCGTGTCTATTACGGTTACCGAGATACCAATGCTCGTATCCCATATTTGTAGCATCCTGTATAGTCAAAACAGTAACAGTCAGTAAAAAAATATTTTACAAATTACAACGGATTAATATTTATTTAATAAACAAATAATATTTAATCATTGATCTTATACTGTACAAAACGGAGGTATCTAAAACACACAAATCAGATGTAAATGAAAAAATCTTACCACTTATTTTTTATTAAAAACGTTTATTAATGAAGATCGTATAATACGATTAGTGTATAATGATACACCCTGTAACAACTAAGCATGTTTAACTTTTTTTTCCTTAAATTTAAAATTAGAAAAAAAAACTGTTCAAAGAGGAAATGTCTCACAAATCCGAAAATTTGGAACAAATATACTGATTATTCTTTCAAACACTACTTGTCCAAATCTATGCATAATTAAACATTTAATCAAGATTGTTAAAACAGATAACCACTGATTCATAGGTATGTTAAAGATTTCTCTAGACTTGCCGATATTTTTCTTACAACTATACTCATCATGACGCATATATCTGATGTGAAGTATTGGAAAAGTTTGTTTAATCTTTATGTATCGATCAGCCGATGCTCATTACTAATTATACATACAATTCAATTTGATTCACCTTATGATATTTCTCGATAATTACATGTTTTTAAGCAGGACCGTACATTCATTGAAATCTCAGTTAAATATTTTTGTACAATGCATCTGCATTTTTGTTTTTTAGTTATCAAGAATAAAATTATAATATCGTGTATTTATAGTGACCAAGATAAAACTGATTTTAAAATGGCAAAGTACACATATATACTATTTAAATGACAGATATGGCTAATTTAAAGAAAGACGTAAATTGTATAAAAAGTATATCGCCTAAAACGCTCCAGGAGTCAAATTTTCCTGCGGAGCAAATTTTACTGATGTAGAATGTAGAATGTTTAGAAGGGGAGTTAATCACCGCGACCTTACAGATCTATTGTGTGTTCCCCTTTCTTGAGTTATAACGAGTTATAACTCATCATACAGTCTCAGGGCTTTTACTGATATTATATATCCATATTTGTGGAAATATTTTAAGGCGCTTTCATTTTAATAAGATTTTGCAGTTATAATAAATATTTAATTTTTAGGAAATTACTGCAATCAATATCCGATATTATTGGAAACTAATTCGTTTCTTATAAATACGTTTATTTTGAATTAAATTTCGATTATCCTGTTTTGCAAATCCCGACTCGATAAAATGGCCGACATACAGTCGTCCAAATTCAACATAAAATCATGGCGTCGACTAACAAAACATTTTTGTTGCTCAGGGAGCAGTTATACAATTAACTTGTTTTACAATGATGCTATACGGAACATATTTGTTTTATTACTTAAAATAATGTCGGCAAAATACAATTAAATTCGTATATATATTCCGGTGCTGTCACCTTTACTATTTACAACAATAAAATTATAGACGTGTCTTTTTAAATTCGCTAGTAGGTTCATCAATACTTATAACATAGGAAGACATTTTAAAAAATTAAAAGTTTTACTAGCATTACTATCTTCTGGTGTTATAACAGTTTAATTTTTAATTTCTCTCTTGTGTCAACGTTTCCACAAGAATTTAAAATTCTTTGGTAGTTATCTTTAACTTTCTTTTTAAAATGTCTACTTCTTTTTAGCTTCTTCCAGTTAGAAATACTTGAAATTTTAAGTTTTAGAGATAAAATCACAATTTTAAAATATATTTTAAATTCCAGTTTAAAAAACCAAAGTTTGAGGTTAGTGCTATAGTATGTTTATAAGGTTTCCTAAATAACATTTTTGTATTTGGGGAAACACTTTTGTTTTTTAATCGCTTTATAAGAATTCTAATTCATTCCTTTAAAAGCAATTATAAAATTGTTTTCTTAGAGTAGAGGTCGCGACTAAATTATTGTGAAGACCAAATTGTTTTATAAATCAGTCGTAAAAACAGCTATAAAACATGTCGATAATGTTTTAATAAACTAAAATGCATATTTTTATAGCTGTTTTGTAAATGTTTTATAATTGTTTTAAATTATATTATAAATCAATTATAAAATATATCTAGCTCAAGCATAAATAGTTTTTGTTATATAAACGTTCCTGAGCATATTAACGAATATATTTAAGTATAAAAATGTTTAATAAATTAGTCGCCAAAACATCTATATAACAAAATAATAAAACACATTTGTCTCCATGATAAATTTGTGTTCTTTGCGTTTATTATATAACAATTCAGTGTATGAGATCGCTTTAATAAATCGCATATAAAACACTTCGCTCTCATAATAATTTATTGTGCTACTTGGGATAAGATTCGCTGATGACACAGTTCGAATTGCCAATAGTCTTGAAGAATTACAAGCATAAGCAGATTAATGAACTAAATACAGCCAGCAATAAAGTAGGTATCAAAATGTTGTTACAATTTTTTAAACGGTTTAATATTGATACAGGTTTCCTGCAGTTAGACAGTACATAATAACGGAATGGTTAAAGGATCCTGGATGTATGAGAGGCTTAGAAATTGAGAAATATTTGAGAGTAGGTAATGATACTGCAGAAAGAGCTGTTAAATTATCAGAAGAATACATTAATATTTTATCTAGAAATAAAGATGAAAAACAATATGTGATTCCGATTGTAAGCGAGTATAAGAAGAAATATCAAAATCCAACTAAAGAATGTTTATTAAAATAAATCAACTATACTTAAATGGTTTAAACTTCATTAGACTTGAAGATTTCTTAGTTCCCAACCTTAACATTACCTATCAGAATTGTACATTTTTACAGTAATAGATTAAATTTTTCGAAAATAATCATAATTTTGTCAAAAAAGTTGAAGAATTTAGGAATTTACCGAGCGGTTAATTTTAGCCGTGAATAACTTTTGAAGGAGTAGGTTTATCGGAAAATGCTTGAATAAGTTGAAAAATGATGATGATAGATTTTTCTGGAGACGGTACTGTATGTACTGAACGTAATTGTTTAACAAATCTCACGATGTCTAGGCAGAGCGATTCAATTTATTTATTTATTGCTAGTCAGAGCCATCCGTTAATTATAAATAAGTGATGTCATTAGATTTTACCGTTCGGGTACTTATTGTTTTCTCGTGACGTCTTTACACATCCATGTTTGTTTTATTATTTCGTTTAAACGATCGAATTTTCTAAATAGGATTTTCCGCATGAGTCTACATAAATAAATTTGTGTATGCGGATTTTAAATAAAAATTTATTATTAATTGTGAACGAAAAAATCCTTAATACTAATCTTTGCGTACCCGTAACTATAAAAATAATTTAAAAAATCTAGAATATAATATATATAACAATTAAAACAGCATCCATAATATTTTATGAGCTTTTGTAATGTTTATAGGAATCCCATTTAAAGATTTCCGAATGATAAATATATTGGAAACTTTTTTCAGATAAATTTTATATATTTTATTTTTTTTTTATAATTATCATCTGTGTTTTTATTGTAAATTTATTACAAATATACATATAATATGTTGTTTTCTTCCATTCTGTGGTTAAAAATAAAGACATTTTTATGTGAATCAGATATAGTTCCAACGGAAATGATTGAATATCTGTATATTTTGATAATCTCTTTATTGATTATATCTTTGAGAAAAACTAACTAAGGAGACTAAGAGGGGTGTATAGTACTATCTTTATATTGAAGATTTCAACAGACAAAAAATGACAGACTATACACAATTCATACTTTTTTACTATTCCTTTATTTATCTCGATTTTTAATTTTACCATAGAAAGTCTGTTGTTTCATAAACTATATACATATAATATTAATTATTGTAGTTTGTAGTTCTTACTTTTACGTCTTACCAAAGTTCATAGAACTACAGAGAATTATTCTGTAAACTTTGATCTTATTATGGAAAACTTTTAAGATATCTGCAGGTAAACTTCGACTATACCGGGTTCGTTTTAAAAGTGGCTCACCCCCAATAACTTTTTTATTTTTTCAGATAAAAAAACGAGATTTTGTTTTTTAGTATATGACATAATTTAGGACTGATTGACGTGTTCAAATGTTTTTGACCACTTCCTATTTCACCGGAAATGACTATAACTTTTGATTTTTAAATGGCACCCTCGGTATTTTTTTACTTTATTCGATAGAAAATGACATTTTGAATAAAATGACATATCATAATATGTCAACTTTTGACATTCTCGCTTAATATATTTTAAAATTCAATCTAGAGTGACATGGCTATGTTAAAAACATTAATTCTTGATCAAGGAGCCTTGGAAAAATAGATTTGATTGTCTAATGTTTCTCGTGTCTTGTCCTGACCAGTTAGAAAGTGCACAAATCGCATTTTTAATCATATCTCAATTTTTTCAAATGGAACGAGGGTGGTTTATTAGCATATTTTGAAAAAGCATTTTTTTACCAATAATTTGATACCACACACTTGGTGTTTCGAGTCAAATTTTCGTTATGAACCGCAAGTTATTTCAAATAAACCATATGCGAAAATGGCAAAAGTTGACATATGATATGTCATTCTATTCAGAGTGTTATTTTCTATGGAATAAAGTAAAAAAGAAACCGAGGGTGCCGTTTAAAAATCAAAAGTTATAGTCATTTCCGGTGAAACAGGAAGTGACCGAAAACAATTATTGAATACGTCAATCAACCCTAATTTATGTCATACACTAACATACCAAATGCCATTTTTTTAAACAAATAAAAAAGTTATAGGGGTGAGCCACTTTTGAGACGCACCCGGTAGTGTGTAGCAAATCAAAAGAATCTCCCAAATGAGACTGAATGTCTAAACCATACTTTTAATAAAATAGTTGTGTAAAAACTTCTGAATAATAATATAACCTAAATAACATAACTTTCGTTTTGTTACAGGTACAGCTTGATTCACAGCTGATTCCGCGAAATCTGACAAAAATCAGCGAAGAATTTCCGGAACAATACTTAAAGATTTCGCTATTCATCGCTGTTTGCACGAAGAGGATCTTCAGCAAACAAACTACCGGTTTTCATTGACTCATTACCCACTCACTAACAAGGGGGAAAAAGAATTCATAGTTTACAGTACCATAACATAGTACCTAGTTGATCCGCTTTGGCTGTTGGGAAAAATTACGGGAATCCACAGCAGCACAACGCGCCGCATCACAACCCAATCCAAACACACACATTACTACGCAAGTTTGGTTGATTTAAAAACGGTTCAAGATGTTCGCCATCATGCAGATTGATAACGACGTCTCCAGGGATCAGTTTAGGAGAAAGATGAGGGCCAAGTGCGAGTTCGTGTGCAAGTACTGCCAGAGGAGGTTCACCAAGCCCTACAACCTCATGATCCACGAGAGGACGCACAAGAGTCCCGAACTCACGTTCAGTTGTGAGGTGTGCGGAAAGAGTTTCAAGCGGCAGGACAACCTCAAACAACATAGGTAAGCCGAATAGAGAGTTTCTTTGATTTTTTTTGCTATTACTTGTCCACTTTAAAAAACATACATTCAAGCACTAATTTTAAGTCGTATTAAATTAATTTGAAAGTATAAACTGTTACGATTCTTTTTTAAATTTTATATTCGAAAAAGTGTTTTTTTGTTCTCTCCATTATACAGGGTGATTCACGGTCATGGTAATTTAGAAGTTTATGGAGAACAGATGGTAGGATTTTTTTGAAAATATGGATTTTTACATAAAGGTACCTGCTCTATCTATCTAAAAGATTTTCAGTGTTACAGTGTTGAAACGTCATTTAAAAATTGGTAGCATTTCTGTATATTATTACACTTTTTGAAACTATACTTTCATATCTCATAATTTTTTTATTATACTAACCTAAACATGCGTAAAATTGACAATAACATGAGCTTGAATAATCGTTGGTAAAATCATGAATTGGACATTTTTAAAGTTGAAATTTGGGTCATTAATCTATGAACCAAATTTCAGTTTTCAATATGCCGAATTTATTATTTAACCCATGCCTATTCAAGGTCATGTTTTTGTTAATTTTACACATGTTTTATTTTTTATCTCGAAAATTAATAGAGATAGATATAGGTTAGTATTTAGAAAAGTTATCATATATGAAATAGTTTCGAAAAATATAATAATATACCGGGTGTGTTCCATTTAAAATAACAAAGACGCTACTACGTTTAGCATGAACACTGTAACGCTGAAAATAATTCTAACCAAAAAATTTTTATTTTTTATTTTAAAAATACAAAATTTTCAAAAAAATCTTATCACTGTAAATATCCATGGCTCTTTATTTTTTCTTTCGATATTTTATTTTATGATGTTATGATTTTAATTTCTATTTACGTGATTCCTAAATTATTTAGAGATATTATTTATCTATATAACATTCGTTTTCCGTTTTCATAAAAATTCTGAAACTATGTCGATGATGTTGTAACCTTGAAAAAAGGATTATATTAAGTCTGTGGACAAATTAAACTAAATAAACAAATGGTTTGATTACGTTTTCCTTGTATATGTTGGGTTGAAATAAAATAATAATATGCTTGACCGGTACAATGTTGCCCACTTTTACATATTTTCTTTTACTCAAAATATTGTAGAAAACAAAAATAAATTAATTTTAAATACACTTCCCCAATAATTAACGCACCACAAAAAAATAACCAAAAGTTTAAGTTAAGTTTTTGTCAAAACCACTTATCCGATTTGGACGATTTTTTTTTTTGAATGATAGGTTATTCTTTCCACAATGTTGCTATACTAAGTGTATTTTGATAGGAACCCTTTTTATACTAATACCGGGTGTAGCAATTATAACGTGTCTTTTTAATAAAATTTGTGACACCCTGTAGAGTTGATCAGTTACAGTATCAAGTTAAAATTGAAATCACATTTTAGCCTGATCTTTTTTTTACATTTTGTTTTTTTATTTACTGCATTATCTTCCTTATTACACGAGAAACAACATTTTATAGGATGACATGATTTAATATTGGTTTTAATTAACATTTTTTCATTTTACTCACTAAAGTAAGTAGCAGGCTATGGAAAAACACGGATTACCAGTAAAGTTCTGTGCAAACTTGTAGACCATTAGTATCTCTGAGCTGAGTTTGAAGGGCCCGAGCTGTTACGAAACGTTGTCTTAATGTTGAGAGTTTTAAAAAACGTTCCTGAATCGGATTGGTTCTTCGATCCCTGCCTTGTCCCGGCCTGCGACAATGACTCCCAGTATCTCAATGGTTGAGTGAGTTACATTAAATCGTTCACCAATTCTTCGGTAGCTCCAACCTTCCTCAGACAATATTAATGCTTGAGCACATTCTTCGCCAGTAAGATTTCTTGTTTCACGTGCACGTTGCATATTTTTGATATAATAAATGGACGAAAACGACTGACACTGACAACAAGCATCTCTATTTGACATTTACTGGTAATTCGTGTTTTTCCATAGCCTGCTACTTACTTTAGTGAGTAAAATGGAAAAATGTTAATTAAAACTAATATTAAATCATGTCATCCTATAAAATGTTGTTTCTCGTGTAATAAGGAAGATAATGGAGTAAATAAAAAAATAAAATGTATAAAAAAGATAAGGCTAAAATGTGATTTCAATTTTAACTTGATACTGTAACTGATCAACTCTACAGGGTGTCACAAATTTTATTAAAAAAACACGTTATAATTAAAAACTACACCCGGTATTAGTATAAAAAGGGTTCCTATCAAAATACAGTTCGTATAGCAACATTGTGGAAAGAATAACCTATCATTCAAACAAAATCGTCCAAATCGGATAAGTGGTTTTGTTTGGTTTGTAAACAAAAACTCACCTTCTTAATAGCACTTAAGGGATATAACATTACTACCGCTTTCCCGTTCAAAATATTCTAATAAAGTTGCGATGAGTTTTTTACGGCTATTAAGCTATCTTGTACACTTTGCACTAAAAGAGGTTCTAAAAAGAACAATGTTCGATTGCAAGGTCTGCTAGGACACATTTTTCAGCTTAAAATAACACAGCACTATTTATTTAAACCAAAAACTCGTAATACAAAATTAAAGAGACAAATGACCAATGTCAGGAAATAAATAAATAAATCCCCAGCGGCCTGTACGGCGCCGAATATGTCCATGGTTGGCAACAATGAATTAAAAATGGCGCCCTCGATTACCCAACTAAAAGCTTAATATTGTTATCAAGAATATATGGTTATTAGTTTATATTTTGGAGGAACTCTATGTTTACTAATTTCACTAAATGAAAAATATAATTAAAACCCAGAAACGTAAGGCCAGACATGTCACAATGGCTGTTCAGAATGGACAGTTTTTATTGCTTTTCGGTTGAAACATTCGTTCTGGGGATTTCAAAGTGTTCGCACCACACTTATTGGCAAAAATATAACTCGTCCAAACGGACATAAAGCTTATTGAGAAGCGGCAGACCTTGACAAATGTGTTTTATTGGTGCCGAAAAATAAGTATTTCAGTCGAGTTAAAGCTCCTTTTGGAGCATTTCACAGACTATAGTTTCGAAATTGCGAGGTTAGCGTCCTTCTCTATGTTTTTTTAATCTGTTTGTATAAAGTGACAAGATTTTGCGTCAGCTAATGTTAATACACATTTTTCATGACACAACTCGCTAGGTCTGTTGACTAGGACCAAAAGCAAAGACATGGTTTTCATGCGAATATCTCCAACAAAAATGAAGCTTTTGAGATAAACCACAGATCAAACTATTGAGAAAGGATATACCTAGATGATAAAATGATTTTTAAATTCTTTGCTTTCTTAACATATTCCACACGGTGTTTGAAACTTTCACCAAAATATCAACATTTTGTTTTTCTTTATATAATTGACAGAATGGGAATTTTCATTTTTTAAGAAATACTAAAAAGTCAAATAATTTAACTACATATTGCTTAAAAAACTATAACAAAATAAATAAAATCTTTAAATTACATCAAAATTTTAAGGTGCCGGTGTGTGTATTTTAGTAGGTATTATTTTGCTTCGGCCACAAATTGGCATAGTTGTGTAAAATAAAGAAACTAATTTTTCCAATAAAGTATTTTAAAATTCTGCCAATAATCCCATTTTTTAGCCATTTTAATTACTTTAAATGTCAAATCTGACATACATCCGAAACAAAAACCAACGCCAAGTCAAAATTCACCTAAGCAATAATAATAAAAAAGTTCCATATACAGGATGAGTCTTGAATAAGTGCAAATATTTTATTATTAGTTTTTTTTTCGCGAAAAAATTTGTAATTTTTTGGAAAATTTTTGCATTTTTTTTATTTTCTAGCTAAAAAAATATAATTTCTTGATAATATGGCAACAGAGGTAGTGGATTAAATTTACAGGAAAGAAAATGCAGAAAAGTTCCAGTGGTTCTCAAAATTTCAGCAAAAAATCATTTTTTTTTTGGAAATTTTCAAAGTAAAATAACTCGGTTATTTTGGACTTATTTGAAAAACGGTAAAGAAAAAATATGCCTCCCTGAAAATATTTGCACTTATTACTGACTCACCCTGTATGATGCGGACTTTTGCTGTGACACTCTACGTCAGCCTCATCTGTTTTATGTTAAGGCTTAACTAGTTCATTATTGTTTAAAAATTTATCTACGTCATGGGTTACTATGACGCGCGAAAATATATAACGTAATAATTCAAAAAAAAGCGTCGAAGTGACATGAGACATATTCACGTGGTCGCGGCTTCTACATTAGACGCAATAAGGCCAATAAAAATATACTTATATTACTTTGAAAATAAACGTTTTATAGAAATGTACATAGTATGTGCGAGTTTGTACACTTGGAATTGCTTAATAGGCGGCTATTTAGTAATTTCGAAAGGTTATGGTTAACCTCGATGGAGCAATATTTACTATTTGTTTTCGTGAGGATTTTGTCTTTGTTTGATTTATTTTGTTTCGAAGAAATTAGCAAGAATCTGCGAAAATTTACCAATTGATTCTTGGACTTTGCAAAGGTTTTGCATTTTTTTATGAAAAAATGAAGGAAAACAATTCTGGTAAAGTTTGAGATCTTAAGAGTAACTAACGTGAACATGACAGGATCGGGCTAAGCCTGGCAGATTTTTCAAATATAATATACAGGGTGTCCCAGAAATAAGTCCAAATATTTTAAGAGGTGATAGATCTCGATAAAAGAAACATATTTTCTCTTTATCGTTTTTCAAATAAGTCCAAAATAATGGAGTTATTTTACTTTGAAAATTACCAAAAAAAATGATTTTTTCCTGAAATTTTGAGAACCACTGGATCTTTTCTGGATTTTCTTTCTTGTAAATTTAATCTAATACCTATGTTACCATATTATCAAGAAATTATGTTTTTTAACTAAAAACTAAAAAAATTTCCAAAAAATTTTGCCAAAAATAGGCGTGTTTCTGGGGTTGAACTATACTACCAGTTAAAATATTTACACTTATTTCTGGGACACCCTGTATAGTATTTCCTTCGGCAATGGAATTTTTTTTTGGAAATTTAATTGCGTCCTAACAAATCAGCGTATTGTAAAAATTAATACATATTCTTGTAGAAAATTGAATGGTCTTCAAAAAGGTCTGATATGCTTTTCATTTAATCGACTCGTTTGAAGGTTATTGAAGGTTAAATGTCAACTTCAAATCGTATATCATAACTTCCACTATTTTTTATATTTTATCACGAAATAATGGCTCAAAAACATAAAATATCTTATTTTTCGTAAAAAAAAAATCATCTAATTATTAATTATCGCTAATTACAATATTTAGGAATTATCCTGATTCAATATAGTCATTTATTTTTAACCAGAACTGTTTTTGTGTACTTTGCCTGGCGGCCCAGTTCTTTTAGTTTTAATGTTTTTTTGTTTCCTCCAGTGATATACAAACGAAACCATGACTGCTGTATTGATGAAAAGCTGCCGTACGCAAGTGGTAATATAGCTTTTTAGCTAATATTTTTTTATTAACTAAATCTGCTACACTTTCAATAACTTTCAAACTAGTCTCGATTAAATGAAAAGTCATTTCAGACCTTTTTTGAATTTCATTCAATTTTATGAAAGAATTTTTATTAATGTTCAAGATTTTTGTATTATTTTTTTTAAACAAACTGTTTGTTTATTTACACAGACTTAATTATAAAAAATTAAGACTTCTAACAAAATATTATACTTCTATACAGGGTGGCCCATCGAAAACGTTTGTGAGGGGGACAACTTATGCCCCAAAAATTATTGCAAAATCTTTAACCCTCTAAGCGGGGTCCCCCAACTTTTTTCAAATGGAAAGGGGGGTCAAGTGGCGCCGCAATGAAACGAGCTTTCTATTCTCTATATTTCGTTGGGAAAATATGAAGGATTGAAATTTGAAAAGTTTTTTAAACATTTATCAGAGTAAATGATAAGGATAAATTCCTTCGACCAATTTGCTGTTTTTTTCTTATTATTTCTAGATGTTTGCAATCGGGTTGCGCAGATATTCAATGAACGCCATCCTGACAAACACCTTTATGGCAAAATTGTTCGCCAGTTAGTAGCAAAATTTCGCGAAACTGGTTCCGTTATGAATAAAAAGAGGCAGAGGGAAAATCCTGTAGTAAATGAAGCTATGGAGATATTCGTATTGGGCCAAGTTGCCATGGACAGTATTCTGAGTACAAGAAAATTAGCCAATGAGACCGGCGGGAATCGTACAAGTTTCCAAAGGATATTAAAAAAACACAAGTTCCACCCGTACAAAATTCAGTTGGTACAAGAACCCAAAGAAGACGATTTTGATCGTCGCTTGCAATTTTGCGAAACTATGAGTGAACGAGTGGGAAATGATAATAATTTCCTATTTAATGTTTTTTTTTCGGATGAGTGTGCTTTTTTTTTGAACGGTGTAGTTAATCGGCACAACTGTCGGTACTGGGCTGAGGACAACCCCAGGGTTTTTCACGAGGTGCACTCACAAAACCCTCAGAAATTGAACGTGTGGGCTGGTATTTTTGGAAATTCTATTGTAGGTCAGTTTAACGATATTGAGAAGAACTTCAACGTACAAGTCACAGAACAGCTATCTAGCAACTACCGCACCTGATCGTTCAACGTTGTGGCAAGTGAAAAAATGCGTAAACATCTAGAAATAATAAGAAAAAACAGCAAATTGGTCGAATTTATCCTTAATTATCATTTACTCTGATAAATGCTTAAACAAACTTTTCAAATTTCAATCCTTCATATTTTCTCAATGACTCGACCGATTTTCAAAAACGAAGCGGGGAAATATAGAGAATAGAAAGCTCTTTTCATTGCGGCGCCACTTGACCCCCAATCATTTTTGGGGCAAAAGTTGTCCCCCTTACAAACAAAATTGACGTGCTTTTGGATTTTCTGAAAAAATAAATACCCTGGCCGTTATGCTTTGCGGAACGTTTTCGATGGTCCACCCTGTATAAAATGTCGTTATTATTTTTGTAGCAAGACTATAAATGGTTAATAGAAATACCTTATTTTGCTTAGAGAAATACAATGCTAGAGATATTGTATAAATATATTTTTTTAAATGGGTATACTCGGATTAATATAGGAAATCTGCCCCGCGGCTTTTTTTGACTCGCACTCAGAGGATCGATTTGGTGCCGAATCAAAATAGTTCACCTAAATTTATAACTCTTTAACTCAAACGGTTTTCGAGATTTTCAAAAAAAACTTTTTTTTAATTTTATTTTTATTTCTATAGTAAAATTCAAAATTAATTAATGATGATTTGGTTTGATTTTTTTTCTAATTCTTTGAAGTCGATTTTTTGCAGAGGAAAGAAAATTAAAATCATTATCTTTTTAACGGGATCGATTTGGTGCCGAATCAAAATAGTTCACCTAAATTTTTAGCTCTTTAACTCAAACGGTTTTCGAGATTTTCAAAAAAAACTTTTTTTTAATTTTATTTTTATTTCTATAGTAAAATTCAAAATTAATTAATGATGATTTGGTTTGATTTTTTTTCTAATTCTTTGAAGTCGATTTTTTGCGGAGGAAAGAAAATGAAAATCATTATCTTTTTAACCTTTGTGAAATATGTCACTCAAATATCGTCAGAAAATGTCTTTTATACTTCTTTACATTCAGGAATTTTTGAAGTGGTGGAACAATATGGAAAAAATTAAAAACTCATTTTTTTTCTAAAAATTTCTCAGATTCATTCTTTTATATAATCTTCATGTTTATTTCTGGCCAGGATGTATTTTTAATGAAAAAGTATTTTCTAACTCACTTTTTTTAACTAAACAAAAATGCAAGTTAGTTAAAACAGAAGATTTTGGAAAAAAATGAGTTTTTAATATTTTTCATATTGATCCACTCGATTATCTTCTATTGAACAATCTTGAATAAATAATTAGACATCTTTAATAAATATCGTACACTAATTGATTAAATTATAATATTGCATGGCATGAAATGTTTTTGTTTAACCACAACCTTTAGTATTATTTAATTCTATTTGTTACTAAAAAAGTTACTAATTAGTGGTTATGGAAAAACTCTGCCTTGTCATATTGTAGTTTCTTTGGTTGGATAGAAAATAAAAACAAATATAAAATATAGGAACTGAATAGAATTATTTGTGGTTTATTAATATTCATTTAATATCTATGTTTGTTTGGTTGTTTTGTAACTATGGTACAAGCACAACCAGTAGCCGCCATATATTTTTGCAATAAATTATAATATATTATCTCTTCATACAAATAAGAGTTCTTTGTTCTAGTTTCTTTATTTTGTATTTTTTAACAATTTTTTTTAGATTTAATATTTTTTTATTTTCGTATAGGTTTTTGATAAAATCGAAAAAAAACTTTTGTACATATTTTTATTTTTTTACTAATTCGTATACTCCTCTTTTAGATGTAATCAATGTGTATGGCGATAAAAAGGGTGATAGCCTTCTTGGATACAGGGCTATATGGGGCTCTTCTAAATTTAAATGTAAGACCCCTTAACAAGTAAATTTTACCACCTCACCCCTACTAAAAATCTCTTCACCTACTCATACTTACTAACGCTTCACTTGTACAACATGTCCCACGTCCGGTTATGTGTATTTCATCATTATATTGTGTGATCTATGAAAAAAAAAACAGTGTCACGGTAGGCATTTAAATATAATTTCAGTTCGAGCTTCTTCCTTCGACTTTCCTTTGAAGTTATTGACATTGTTAGTTGAATAGACGTATTTGAAGACTCTAATATTATTTATCTAACTAACTTGGGACATACTGTACAACGCAAACATCAGCCATACCCTATTGAACATAGTAAACATTAAACCATTTTTGAAATTCAGATTTTTTTAATTTAAAAAAGTCTTCTGTTTGCTGCTAAGGCCAAGCTTTCAGAATGCGAATACAAAAAATCGCTGAGAACTATATCTGGTTAATACGGAGGCTGGACTAGCAGTATGGCGATCTGGGTAGTGTTACTATCAGATGATCATCACTGTAAGTGGAAAATCTTTATTGTATAACCCACCCTTAGTTCCAAAATTAAAAATACAGTTTTTCATGTAGCTGCCACTGCTGTAAATGTCACATTTCATTTTAGAATGTGTCAGGAAATGAGCAAATAATCACAGCTGTTCAACTGATGATAAATTGAGAGATTTAGAGTAAAAAAGAATGTAAAAGAACGTGTTTATTTGTTGTTCTGTTGGATTTTGAAAAATTGAGTTATACAAATAAGTATTTCCATTTCGTGGCTACGCATAGTAAAAAAAAAAATAAAAATGGTTCATTGTTTATATATTATATAATATAATTTTCAATCCTACTATATCAATCCTATATCTATTCCAAAAAAAATCCACATTAACCATCAAGCATGAAAACAACTAGATGAGTTAGATGAATTTTTATTTTATGTTATAAGCAAAATACTAATTTTGATGTTTTTTTGTTTCTTTATAGGACTATCCATTATCCATGTTCCAGTCCGACGTTCAATTGTTATACCAGGTACTAAGATTCACCTACAGCACTATAACAAATTTACTATAATAAAATATAATTCATACAACAGTATTCTTGCCCTTATACAGTGCAATTCAATTTTCAAAAAAAAAATAAGTTCTTTTTTTGGTGATTTCTAATAAAAAAAACTACATTTATTTGAATGTGGTAGACGATGATTCAGTGTATTGACTTCCTTTTTTTTAATAATTTGGAGGCCAAAAATACAAAAAAAAAGAATTTGTTTTTTTTTTCAATTTTTTTAAAGTTACATTTTAATTTATTATTGTCCTTACATTATAGCTCTTTTTGTATATATTTTATGTGTTCTAGTTATTAAATAAATTATATTTATATGCCTTAAAATATGTATACTAAATTTCTAAAACGACTTCTTTTTGACTAGTCTAAAAATTAGTTTTTTATGTACCCTGGCCTTGATAGAATGAAAACGGTGCCAGAAACTTTATGAAACGTTGTGTGCCCACTCAGGAGCATTGGCGTAACTACAGGGGTGCCCGGGGGTGCCGGGCCTTCCCATGTACTGCTGGGCACCCCCTAGAGAAATCCTGAATTATCACTCTTGGCTGCGTATTAATTTTTATTTGCTTGTGACGCAGTAAAAATGACGTTTTCTAGTTTTGTTTAGTTAATATTATTTTGTTGTGTTCAAAAAACGTGTTCAGAAAATTTGTAGGTATTCAAGTAATTTACGGGAACACGGTTTAATAACCAAGTCTATGAAATTTATTGATAGAGAAGTTCATGTAAACGTTTTATTCAGAAAATATGTTTTTTAAAATGATTTTTTATTTTTAAAAAAACAAAAGCCCTAGCCCCCCCACTGGGCTCAACACCAGGCCCCCCCCCAGGCCCACCCCAGGATAAATTGATAGTTACGCTAATGCTCAGGAGTTTATCTCACCTGATAATATACAGAGTATTCTTATAATTTATTCTTTCACTGTGTTTCCAATTATTGATTTTGTCATTATCAAAAATAGTTTGAAAACAAAAAATACAGGCATATTAGTTACTCTACACTTACTGTGGCGTATTTTTTTATCTAATCACACCATGCATATTAGTCTTTTAATTTACTTATAATTTGTACAGGGTGTTCAAAATACATTCTCGTTTTCGTTCGATCATGCGCTATATAAACGTGAGTGTAAAAAAGTCCTGGTTTAGTTAGACTGTCATATATTTTATGACATTATGCATCATTTTCTTGCCCTTTACATTTTAATCATATACGCTTTTATCTACATTTACAGTATGTATACGGGGTGTCCCAGAAATCCGGGCCTCATGGGGTTCGATTTTGCGACACCCTGTACACAAGATGTAACAAATGAAGTTGTATTTTTAATATATTTTTTTGTTTGTTACATTTTGTTACGAATTTAGTCATAGATACAGCAATATTTTGACATTCTTCCTAGAGAAGTTTTGAAAAAAAACATGTGTTAAATCTCTCTCAAAATATTGATTGATAAAGACTATTAGAGAAGCCAGTGTTTTATATCATAAAATTAGTTTGTGATTTAGTTTATAGTATTATATTATATTTAATTATAGTTATATACGTGCAATTCCTCTTTTTATATATTTTTTTCGATAATTTTGTACAGAGTTGTTTAAATATTCTCTGAAGTTCGAAATATTTATATTAGCTTTGATATTAATTGTATTCTGTTTTTATTTTATTTAATTAATAAAAATAACTGTGTATTTTTTGTAGTTTGCAAAAAACTATTCAGGTTATTCTGTTAACCATCATTTCCTGTTAATGGTGGCTGTTGTATACTGTCATTAGCATTGCCTATTTTTTTTGTTTTAATATTTTTTATGTTTATAATGCCTACAAATTTAATATGTGCCTTAAAAATAAAACATATTATCAGTGAAATTGTGTTTTTATTAAGTATACCCTATACTAGCCCCAAATTTACAAAATACCCTGTTTGTTAGAATGTTTCAATAAACCCTATAAGTCTGTCCAACGAGAAGATCCGTGACAGTGATAGATGTGTCTGTCATTTTATTTTCAAAGTAGTTTATTTTATTTTACAAAGAAATAAGTTGGTACAACTGGAACACATAGCAGGAAATTAATATATTCAAAATTTGACTGACAAGACAAGTGATTACTTCAAAATATTGTTAAAAAAACTGTATAAAATTGAAAAAATGTAATCGAGTTATTTTATTTAACAAAAAACGGTGTGTTAATACAAAACAAACAAGAACAAGACACCGCATACCAAAAAAATATAAAAAAGAACTATTTCTTACTTCCAAGCTTCATGAAACTTCCCACATTTATGATTATATCTATCAATATAACTTATGTACAAATACACATTTGGAATTTGTAATATTCCACAGGAATAAATAAAACAACATAAATAAAACAAACTATTTTATTAATAATAACACTTACCAAATTTTATACCTTAAAGGTTGATTAATTAACTTTAATCTTAATTTTTTTAAACCAGTACCTTTCGACATTATTTTTCTGCAGTACTAAAATTCATTATTTACCTATCGTGTGATGTCGATATTTTACAGCTACTCCAGTTTGTAGTATGTGTTTAGTATGATCCTTCTACCATATACGAGCTGCACTTATCTACCACGAAATGGTATACAAACTTTATTGATGGTAACTTTATTGGTGTATAAGACTTTCTGCCTGGGCAGCGAGTATTAACCATAAACTGTGCTCTGGGTCTACAGTCAATTTTCACTCGATTTTTCCTCCACTTGGCTTCAAAAGACACAAAACACACGTAATAACACGAATCAAAATGCATCATTTTCCAAAACGCAGGGAATTTGACAATAGTTGACACAAAATTATAACCTTTAATTTGGCCAGACTTTGACAAGCGTCAAAAATCTAAAGGCGAGTTCATACGCATCGGCGTCCGTTTGTCGTTCATCGTTCCGTCAAACCAATAAAATTGAAATACGATCTGTCATTTTTGAAATAAACCAATAAAACTGGTTAAACACAAAAAGAGACGACGTATGACGGAATTATATTTAAACCCATCCATAGTTAACTTAAAAATTATTAGAAACTTTTTTTAGTAAAATAAATAGATTGGTATGGGACGTCATCTGCTTTTCTTCTGTCATCGTCTGTCGAAATCTTACCTGAGAAAAAAAACAGAATTATATCTCGGTTAGTTTTGATTTAAGCAGAGTTGGAAAAAAAGCAGGGTTGGAAAAAATCATGATTTAAAAAAAAATCAAAAAATCAGATTTTTTTGATTTTAATTTAAAAGAATATTTAAAGGCGATTTTCAAATGACTAGGACTTATTTCCAATTAAAGTCCTATCCTAAATGGCTAAACCTTTAGGTATAACTCTGCCCGATACCGAGAACATTAACAATTCTATGGCGCGTTTATCATTTTTCCACATCAGTATTCCGCAAAAAAAGTCGCTCGCTTCAGATCAAAAGGATTTTTTTTTTCAAACATCTCAAAAATATTAAATTGTCATTTTCACGCCTGGGTATAAAAATAAAGCAATAAAACAAAAAAAAATATATTAATAAACTGATATTAAGTGTCAAATTCAACAAGTGTATAAATTGTTGTTCGATTACTGTTCCTATTATTTGCAATGTTTGAAATTGATTAAAAAATTATTTGTAATGTTTTAAAAGAAATAGTATGTTTTATGCGGAGTAAAAATGTAATTTTTGTGCCTCCCTGTAACGTCGGAATAGCTTTACGATGGTCCTTCAAAGGTACAGCATCGTCAAAAAAAGTATAATTTTTACTCCTAATAAAACAATACAGTATAGTTCGGCTGTGGTTCGGAAATAGTCTTAAGTCGAGAGTGAAATTAGTATGTATTATCTAATGTCAAAGTGTAAAGTATTTACTGCAGATCAAAATGTCAGTAGCAGGGGCGGCTTGTCCTATGAGGCAGATGAGGCAGTGCCTCACCAATACATTTGAAAAATTACACGTATTAATCGATACATCTTTAATCACAATTTTATATTTTTTTCCCTATTTGCATCAATAATAATTGTATTTTTTAACCGTCATTCTACAATAAATTACGTCGATGATATTCCTTTAAACGCTTCCTTTCCCATATGCGACAAACTCGACGATGTATATCCATCTCATTTGTTCTTTAAGAAGTATATGTGCAGAGGTTTGCCTCTCGCCTTTCCTTGTCTAGCGTATTGTGGTATATAGCACTGACGGAGCGACAGCGTTCACTGGAATCTTAACTCTGTAGAATGAAAAGAAAAAGCATAGGCAAAACCTTTAGTTGAAGAGAGATAAAATGTATGGAGTAGTAGCGCGTAAAAAGACTGTATTGAGGCGAGCCTCAAATGTAAATTTGAACCTTAAAAGCCGTTCGTTAAAAATATGTATCACTTCCCGATCAGTTCCCGATCAGCTCGAGAGATTTTAGGCGACAGGCTGAAAATGCAGAATTGCATTATTTGGGAATTTGGCTTAGTTTGAATCAGAGTCTGAATTAATTCTGCCGTTTATTACACTGTTTTGTCTACGTTTTTTAATGTGAATTGTTCATATTAAGTAAATACCTAGAAAGTGGGCAGTGACTTATTGTTGATTGATATGATGATTTAGAGGGACCATGCATCATCAGAGGACTTCCCCAGGTAAAGTTTTTCGAATCATTTCTAGATAAATTGTGTATAGTCAAAAAGTAAAGCGACCTGTTACAGATTTCGTTTTGTTTTATTTTTATAGGATGGGTAGAAAAACAAAATTTTACCATACAGAGTAAAATATAAGAGAAAATATCCTGAGGTCGCTTTGATAAAAATTTACTGTTGCAATAGCCCTATGTAATAGATACCGTATGATCGAGAAAAAACGGCGTCAGCGTTGGCTATGAAATGAAGATCGCTGTCATTTTATATGTAAATTTATATGGGAACTGTCATCGATCGTTATTTCTCAACCAACTGGACGCCGTTTTTTTTTCGATCATACGGTATAATACTGCGAATTATATTACATAAGGCTATTTCCGTAACTGCTAAAAATTTAGAAATATTTTAAATACAAAAATGTGCGCTTTTTAAGTCTGTAGGTATCTAAAATACTAAAAATAATATACAGTGTGTATTGCATTTAAAAAAAACTGAGATATAGCATTATAATATTGCAATGTTGGCCGCGCCATAAAAAAATCCCTGTGAATGTGAATTTTTCTCGGATTTCTTCTTTTATCCTACATACCTCGCTATATTATACGTACTTAAGCAATAATATATCAATAAGTTAAATTCACTCCAGGTTTTTACCACTTTTTAAAAGATAAAATTTTTCAAATATGAATTATCATAGAAATCCCGCATATATAGTGCTTCAAATAAATCAATAGTGTGCTGTATGCTGAATTTTATGCTGAACCCAATTCTGTACGGAAAAATGGTAATGCGATTGCAATTTTAAAGAAAATATTTTTTTAGGATATGTACTTTTTTTATATAGAACTTCGTCGTACTAATGGCCACCCTATATACATACCAAAGACATTATAAAGATAGACCGAACATCTCATTCATAAATACTCGTTGGTAGTGTATCAAACATTCCAATGTGTCAGACAAGGACAGAAGAGACAGAGAAGTCTAAAATTTCCGACCCCGACAACTAGGCGCATTTGGGATTGTTCTAATGGCCAGTGGCGTATCGTTTTTTGGAACGAATTTAATTAGTAAAGTAAAAGTAAAGTAATTAGTAAAATTTTTACTCCATATTAATATACTACATTAACACTTTTTTGTCAGATGAGTTTTGTTATAAGGTCTAATATAATAATACAATTAATATCCCACATATACTTATGTTGAAACGTTAGTAGTTTTCGAAAATCACTCCAACGTCGATTTTCAATTTAAACTTTCAGTTACTTCTATATAAACTTTCAGTTACTTTTGAATATTTACAGGGTGACTCAGGCTTCCGAAACAGTTCTATATTAGGTTTGTGGTTGGTGACTTTTCTTTCAATTTTTTTTTCAGAATATGGAGGCATTTAGGCACATTTTAGACATTTTTGTAAACATAGGTGGCCGGAACATATTTTCAAACCAAAGTTGTAGATTTGCCATTAAATTTCCATGCCAGAAATACCTAGGGTTGCCACACAGTCCTTTTTTGGAATAACTTGTCCTTTTGACTTTTTTTGACTTAAAAAGTCATTTTTATTTACGTATTTTCCCTGAGAAAATTACCTATAGCAAACAGAAATATTCTTTTCGCCCAAATTTAATTAGGAATGTTATAAAACTTAACTTACAAATAAATTTTTCTTGTTTAGAATAGGCAACATTATTTAGAACTTCCCGTTTAATCTCAAATGATAGTTTAGGTTTTAGTTTTACCTTTTTTTATCTTAAAAAGAACTTTTCAAAATTAGTACCTAATTAGTAACTCTAGGAAGATGTATTTGTACGGTGGTAAAAAATGGTCTAAACAATGCCGAAGGGGCAGATTTAATAAAGCAATAAAATGTAAAAAAGGTCAGGTAAACACCTTTGTTTATTTATTGAGCAAAATTCCTTTAGAATATCGTATATAATGACCAAAATAGGACGCAATTTTAATAAAAAAATGTCACTTTCTGGCTTATAATAAAGTTTCAAATGTAACGTTTATATTCAATTTTTTTATGATCTACAACAGTTAGGTAGTAATTGAGACGAATTATAATTCAATTACCGGCTACTACGTTCTTGTTTTAATAGATCAAAATTCAACAAATATAATTAGAAATTAATTTAATTGTGAGAGGCTCCCTTGTGGGACGCCTATGTACGATTACGGCGCGGCGGAAACAATACCTACCAGTAAAAAGACAAATTCGGGTAATTTGAGCTTATTTGTCCAC